AAAAGCTGGGGGTGAGGGGTTGTCCTGGTTCCCCAAAGACACTGGCCTCACGGTCCCAGTTCCTTTGTCTGCACAGTGTACCTGCCTTCTTGGTGCAGATCCGAGTTCTGAATTCAGGGTACGGCGTTTGTTCTGGGCTTATGGTTGAGAGGAAGATGCAAATGTAAAACCCACCAAGTATATCTCACCACAGTGCAGACTTTGGAGAAGGTAGTTTGGCAAAACCATCATGGCCTTCATAGTGTGTAAACCTCTGACTTAGCAGCTCCACTGCTAGACATGTGTCCTCGGGGGAGCACCAGGGAGGTGGCTGCAAGGACAGCATGCTGGTCTTTGCAGGTGATCTGTGCTTAGATTCTGTGCCCTGTCACTTCCCAGTTGGGTGTGGTGGGCCCCCCTCCTTTACCTCTCAAGCCTTGATTTACTGATGTTGTAAAATGGGAGACAAACTTGGTAGATATGAACATGAGCCCATGTGTTATATATGTTGGTCCAATGAGGTATTTCAATCCTTTTGTGGGAAAAGCAGCGTGCCAAGTGGTTCTTGGGGACAGTAAAAAGAGGGAGCTGCCTGATGTTAATGGCAAGGAGCAGTTACAGAAAGTTCTGGATTGTCCCCCAGGGAACCTCATCTGATTGCTCAAGGCCAAGTTTCTGGGGAAGTCCTGCCTCTGGTTGCTGGGGTGTTGGGGAAATCAGATTTGAGCAAAGCCCCTCGGGGATGTGGCTGAGCAGCCGCAAGAAGGCAATCTCCTTCCGAGTTCCTTCTGCAGCCAGGCCCCCTGTGGCGGGAAAAGGCTGGGCGGAGGAGGTGGCCATCACTACTTAGGGCTGTTCCCTCTGCCCAGACTTCTTCTCTGCTCAGCAGACCCTCAAGTCTTCCCAGACGATCTTCTGTCTTAGCTTAAATATGAGCCTCTCTGACCCTCAGTCCAAAGAAGCTCCACTTCTCAGCACTCTCAGGGACATCATCACCTGGAAACTATATCTGGGTTTTTATTAACTGTCTCTTACCCTCCCCCGGCCTTACACACACACACACACACACACACACACACACACACACTCTATATGGCCTTGTTCATAGCTGTATCCCAGCTCCTTGCACAGTACTTGATGCCTACAGCTGCCTAATAAATATTTGCTGTCTGAATAGATGGTTAAAGCCATTGGAAGTTATAGGTTGACTTGGAATTTTAGCCTAATTTGGTTGGCGGAGAGTCTGCCATAAGTCTCTGCCATAAGGTTTAGGAAATCAGTTGTAAAAGTGCAATTGTGGGGAGGTTTGTCCTGCTTCCAGCCTGTAGAGAAGTATTTTTAATATCCACACGTTGGACCTGCAGAGGCTCCGCCACAATTTAAAACCTAGAGAGTCAGAGGCTGGATCTACTATGGGTCTAAGAGTCTCCGTGTGTGTAAAACAAAGCAAATGGGCTGGGGCTTGATCCCAGATGTGTTTTCTTTGGCCAACGACGTGTTTTGAAGTAAATTTAAATGACTTGCCAAGATTGCAGAATTGGGAGATTTCACATAGTCGATTTCAACATTGTTTGGTAAGCTCTTTGGATCAGATACCACTGGGTCCGAGATCCTGCATGGTAGCACCTGGCTAGGTCTGAGCAGGACAGTGAGGTCCGTTCCCACTGCGCTCACTTCCCCTGTGTTCTCTGGCTGGCCCAAGCTCTGTAACCTTGAGGTGTAGGATCCTGGTGTACTCAGAGTGCCCGTCACCGTGTCCTGCACAGAGGCCCGGAATTACATGTTTTTCCTGGAGGAAAAGGGTGGGGTGACTTCAAGGCCTTAGCACCAACCACCCTCAGCCTGCCCTTAGTTCTGTGAATGCTCTTGGCATCCTGGCCTTCTCTCCAGAGAGAAATGCAACCTGGGCTGAGGGGCCCGGGGCTGCCACATGAGATGACAGTGCACAGGCCCCTGGGGCCCGAGTGCTGAAGCCCAGGGTCTGCCTGGAGCTCAGGCCTGGGCCCTCATTTGGGGCCTCTCCATCTCACTTCGTCCCCTCATTCCTGAGCCCACAGAGGAGGCTCCTGGGAAAGAAAGGGTGACTCACTCATTCCCAGGATTTTCGAGCTGAGACTGCGCTAGAAGAGCTTCTCACGAGCCTCAGGCTGGACCAGAAATAACCATGATAATTGGGTCTGACCTTGAACCTCCTGTGCAGTGGGGGTTCTGCTTTGGTACATAGCCACAGCCCTTCTGACCGCTTGAAATGTTTCGAGATTCTTTGTTTCCTTTTCCCTGTGGATTTTTATTGATTGCATACTGCATTGTTGTGGTAAAGAACAAAACAAAAAGGGGAAATTACCTCTGTGCCAGCCCTATAATACACTTTTGTATTTTCCAGTCTTTTCCATATGTATACCTAATTGTAATTACAGTAAAATTAAAATTCTCTCACTCAGGATTCTCAGAATCTGGAACAGAGGGTGGCATGCAGTAGGATTATTTGTTGTCCATAAAATATTTATTTGTTGACCATAAAATATTTTGTTTACTTAACTTTAAAGTGACTCTGGCCAATCTGAGCAGGCTTTTTACTAGAACACAGTGTACATGCTCTGTACCCGAAGCTACACTGTGTTCTAGTAAAAAGCCTGCTCAGATTGGCCAGATTCAGAGAGGTGGTCTATTAAAAAAAAACTGGTGTTGCCTCGGAAGTGGGGGGTAGTCTTATACAGCGAATATAGGCCCAAACCTATGTTTTAACTGTAAAATTAGGGGGTCGTCTTATATGCCGGAAAATACAGTATAGAAATTTACTTTTAAAGTGTTTATCCCTATTACCAGGGTTGTTAAGAAAATTTAGTTTTATCGTAATCTCATCAGCATTTAGATTATAAATTTTAAATTTTTGCTAATTTTATAATATCAGATGGTACCTACTTGTTTTAATGAGTGTTGAAGAATTGTCTAAGCATTTAATAATGGTGATTCCTTCTGTGTGCCTTACCTATTTGAGTAGTTTGCATATCTGTTGGAATATAGGTTTTTTAGTATCTATCAGAATATAGATTTTTTTAAGCGGGGTTGAGTTAATTTATAATATTAATTGATTGACTCAGTTTTCCTATCATAGTTACTGCAAACATTTTTCTAGTGTGTGATTTTCCATTTTAATAGTAGGTGTGTTATAGGTGTGACTCTCTGTTGTGCAGAGATACTGAGAACATGCCTGCCAGCAGGACCTTAGAGACCTAACCTGGCCTCCATGTCTCAGATGGGGAGACCCAGCCCAGAGAGCAGGGGCCACGGCTCAGGCTGGGGAGAGGGGAGCCCAGGCTGTCCAAATCGCCAGCCTTCTGATCTGAGCTCCTAAGAGTCCCTGTTGCTCTTCTCACCCAAAAAGCTCTTTTGCACTGAGGTTTATGGGTCTCTTTTTTGGACCAAGGCAAGCTTTATAGGACTCTACTGAGGGCGTGCTGTTGCCATTCCGATGACAAGGAGCCAGCCATTCCATCTTTCTGACTAAGGGCATTTAAAAATATCCAAGGCAGGAGAATTTGGAGAAACCCATAATCGATAAGCTCTTAGCAGGCAGTAAATGCAGTTTTGTTACCCTCAGAAGATGCATTACTTCATCAAAATCAGTAGCCTCTGTCTCCCACGTGTTGTCCCAGACATTGGGGTCGGTAAAAAGGGAGGAGAGGGATGTGGCCCTGGCTTGGGATGTGCTCGTGCCTGGGGGGGCTTTGGCAACCAGAGGACTTCTTCCCGCTTAGACACTGGAAGGGAGGGCCCCAGAACTGTCAGGACTCCCAGACTGGTTTACAAGCAGAGATTCTGTCCCCAGCTCTGCTACTACATAGCCTGTGTCGCCAGTTCTCTGGATCCTTAGAGCATGCCTATGGTCAGGTTGTTTCATCATCAGCAAACGTAAACGAGCACTTATTTAGTCAAGACTATGCTGGGTACTCAGGTTGCTACAGAGGTGGCTAAGGCTGCTCCACCCTCCTGGGGTTATACTTTGGTGGGATAAACAAAAAGACTAATATCTACCTGCCAAACAATCAGAATTATAAATGAGTATAAGTAAAATGCCAGGGCTCAACAGGGTTAAATAGGGAAGCTTCTCAGAAGAGCTGAGCTAAGCCAAGCCTCCAGGGATGGATAGAATTCTGGGTGGAGAGGCAGGAAGATAGAAAAGAAAGAAGAGTAATAGGACAGATACCAGAAGGCAAATGTCCTTGTCCTCGGTGGCTGTAGTGCAGGGAGAAGGGGGAAAGGAGAGGTTGGGTCCAGATGGCCAGTGATGCTAGAAATTGTCAAAGGGGCACGGCCAGCATGGCTCAGTAGTTGAGCAGCAACCTATGAACTGGGAGGTAACAGCTGGATTTTCAGTCAGGGCACATGCTTGCATTGCCTGCTCAATTCCCAGTGTGGGGCGTGCAGGAGGCAGCCAATCAAAGATTCTTTCTCATCATTGGTGTTTCTATCTCTCTCTCCCTCTTTCTTCCTCTCTGAAATCAATGAAAAAGAAGAAAAAAAAAAGAAATTTTTGGAGGGTTTGAGTGGGATGATGAGAAGGGATATGTAGCAGAAGCCTCTTTTCCTGAGACTCCTGACAACACCCACCTCCCACAGCTATTGATCCCAGTGACAGTGGGCAGCAGGTGTCTAGTCTGGGTCAGACTTTATCTGTTGGCCTCAGTCTGGCAGTCTGGAGTGGAGAGAGGGCCGGCACACGCAGCCCTCTTGAAGTCTATTTGGAGAAATCCTGATTGTTGGTATTTATGTGCTCACCTATTCAACAAATACTTACTGAGTGCCTGCTGTGTACACACCAGGTATTTAACAGTGAAGCAGATGAGAGGAGAATGACGGGAGTATAGAGAGGTCCCAAATTCCGGAATTTTGGGGCCTCTTCTCTTTACAGGGAATTTGGTAACCTAGTTCAATCATTTAAGTGTGGATTCTCAGTGCTGAATTTCCCTTACACAAGGAGCTGCCCTCCTGCTGATCATGTGTGTGTGCTTCCATCCTAGATGCCTTAGGGCTACGTCAGCTGCCCCAAGAGGACTCATTCCTGGCGGCCAGAAGTTACCAAGCAACTCACATGTGTTTGGCAGGCTCCCTCGGAGTCTCCAGCTCCCAGTGACACTCCTGGAAATCCAGTCCTCCGACCTACCCAGCTGGCATCCTCCTAGGCAGCCCACCGAGCCATGGAGGCCCCAGAGGTCCCCGTGGGCTCGCTGATTGACTTCGAGACGGAGCCATCTGCCTCCTCACCCATGGAGGCACGGCCAGCAAAGCTGCAGGATGGGGACAGCTCCCAGGGTGATGGCGGGTCAGACAGTGAGACCACGGAGTCAGCAGACAGCGAGAACGACATGGGCGAGTCGCCCTCTCACCCATCCTGGGACCAGTACCGCCGCTCCTCCTCCAACGAGTCCTTCTCTTCCAACCAGAGCACGGAGTCGGCCAAGGACGAGGAGGCCCTGGAGCTCAGGGAGTTCATGCGCAGCTACGTGGAGAAGATCTTCTCCGGAGGGTAAGTCTCCGGGGCCTCTTCGCTGTGGGCTCTGTCCCTGAGCAGAGCATCACCTGGGCCAGGGCTCCCAGCCACTCACCTGCCAGTGATGGGCCGCCTCTGTAGTTCACAACCCACCTCGGCTGCAGATAGAACCAGGTGGGGACTTTTCACCCTTTGTTTGACCCCACCACTGTCTTGACCACTCCACCGACACCCTTACCTCACCATTGCTGAATCCAAGGACACTAGTTTTGCTTTCCCAGTATCTGCGCACTTTCATGCCAGATTCATGCTTGGCTAGGGGGCTGCAATTATTAGCTGGCATTAAATTTAGGGGCAATATAAGAAAAGAAGGTATCAGAGTCATGCTCTTTGTGATGAGCCGTAAGCAGCTGCTAGGGTGGGAACTTCTCCTCGCACCTCTTCCTGTCCTTCCTTTCACGGTTCTTGAAGGATTGGGTAAGGAGTTTGGCATTGGGAGCAACAGGAAGTGGGGGTGAGAGTTAGAATACAGGAGAAGCAGGGAGTCTGTGGATAGGTTCTAGCTCTCTTGCCTCATGCAATTACTGTCTCAACCAAGGGTCAGGGGAGGCAAACAAACCCAAATTCAGGGGTGGCAGGTTTTGACTGGAGATCTTGCATCATTCACAGCAGCATGTTCAAGGCTGAAAGTCTTGCTACTCAGACTGTCTATATATATATATATATATATATATATATATATATATATACACACACACACACACACACACACACACACACACACACATATATATATATCTTATATAATAAAAGGCTAATATGCAAATCAACCCAATGGCAGAATAACTGGTCTCTATGCCATGCACTGACTACCAAGAGGCATGAGCTGCTCTCTGGTGGTCAGTGTGCTCCCACAGGGGGAGCACCACTCAGCCAGAAGCCAGGCTCATGGCTGGCCAGCCCAGCAGCAGTGGTGGGAGCGGGCCTAAGCCATCAGTTGGATATCCCCCGAGGGCTCCCAGACTGCGAGAGGGTGCAGGCCCAGCTGAGGGACCCCCCTGAGTGCAAGAATTTTGTGCACCAGCCCTCTAGTATAATATATTTTTATTGATTTCAGAGAGGAAGGTAGAGGGAGAGAGAGATAGAAAAACATCAATAATGAGGGAGAATCATTGATCAGCTGCCACCTGCACCCTCCTGCACACAACCCGGTCATGTGCCCTGACTGGGAATCAAACCATGACCTCCTGGGTCATAGGTTAATGCTCAATTTGAGCCATGCTGGCTGGGCCCAAACTATCTTTTGTGGACCCAAAGCATCTGAGGAACTCTGAGAGAAAGGGAAGTTTTCCAATTTCGTTAAAGCAGTAAGGGTGTCTACTTGCTGACACTTGGCAAAGGATACATTCTTTTCTATCATGATTTAGGTCCCTTGTTTATAAACTGGCATTGCTGGAGGCAAACTCAGCTGTGCCTCAGTTTCCTATGCAGTTAAAAAAGAGAAAATTTCAAATGCTAATCCATCTATTTGACTATTTAAAAATCATGTATGTTTGATTTTAAATGCATTCTGGGAGAGCAGTAGATTCGGGTTTCTGTTTATTTTGTTTGACTAACACTGACTGGCATTAGTCAGCTTTCTCTGAGCACACCCAGTTAACGAACAGGGGAGAAAGCTCAAAGCTTGTCAGTTTGCCAGGAAGGCTGGTCTGTGTTTGTGACAGCCTGTCAGCATCATGGAACATGGACAGCTGGATCGGATGCATTTTCAAGAGCATTCCAGAAATCGCTGCAAATGGCTGGCAAATTTTCGTATTTCATCTGGTGTTTGGGGATAAATGAGACCAAGATGTTTTCTACATAACCTTAAATAAATTTAGTATTGGATAAGCCAATTGGTCTTCGGCCCCTACTTCATTTTTGCAGTCATTGAATTTTGGGCGGAGTATTCATCCCCATGAAGACTGATCAGAAGTGATTTGAGATTAGTGAGCACTTTGTCCACTCTGGAGATGGTGAATGGTGACCCACTGTAGTCCCCCAGTCTCCATCCCTCACACAGAGTGGATAGAAGTGAGCAGACTAGCTTTTCAGAAGCTTAGAGGCTTGGCAACCACACCCGCCTTCTGATTGGTGGGAGGGGCATCAGATGCTTGTCTTTTTGAGGCTGAGGCATCCTTGAATTCAGTGGGTGGGTCCATGCTGGCTTCAGCACTGGAGGTTGGTGGACTAGAGAAGGAGCCCTCAGAGGAGGTCAACATCATTCTTGGACCACCAAACTGGAGGCAGGAGGACCAGGGAGAAGGAGCATGGGGAGCCAGGAAGTCTGATGAAGTCCCTGTTCGCGCCCCCAGCTGTGCCTGGTCCCCCAAGCCAGTCTGCTCAATTTTCTTTTTTATTGATTAAGGTATTACATAAGTGTCCATATATCCCCGATTGCCTCCCCTCTCCCATGCATAGTCTGCTCACCTTTGAAATAAAAATGACACCATTTCCTTGAGAGGGTTGCCCAGAGGGTGAAGATGAGCTGACAGAGTTCAGGCAGCTGTACTCAGCTGGTGTTCCTCTTTTTCCTTTTCCCCTACGGTAACCTTTTTTGTCCCAGGGGATTGAAAGGTTTTTCCCTCTGCTCTTTTTTTCAGGGAGGACTTGGACCAGGAGGAGAAAGCCAAGTTTGGGGAGTACTGCAGCAGTGAAAGTGGAAAAGGCCGGGAGTGGTTTGCTCGATACGTGAGCGCCCAGGTAAGAGCAGGCATGGTGGGAGAGGTGGGCGGTGATGGGGAGGGGGCTGGTGATATGTAGCATCCTCTTTCTTTTTAACTCCTCACTCAGGAGAAAGGAGTCGAGGGAAATGACCCAACAGAAAAAAAAGTAACACTTATCTCAAGATGTTCTGAAAGGCCTATTTAGGATAGTGGGAAGTGGCATGTAGCTCATTTGGATGCCCAGTTGGGAGGGAATGAGTGGGAAACTGGCCTGCCCACCACATGAGAGTCCAAGAAAGTTCATCTTTTCAAGGCAAGCATGTGGGTTATGCCCATGCATCTTTTTATAATATTAAATAGCCTACAATATTCGTTTTTTCTGAAGATATATTCAGGACAATGACACCTGTAAGTTCAGAAAAGAATTAAATTTTGTAAATATCCAGTGGATTCCTTTTTCCCCCCTTCTATAAAATGGCTTAAGTTCTTATTTTTAAAAAATACATTTTATTGATTTTTTTACAGAGAGGAAGAGAGAGGGATAGAGAGTTAGAAACATCGATGAGAGAGAAACATCAATCAGCTGCCTCCTGCACACCTCCTACTGGGGATGTGCCCGCAACCAAGGTATATGCCCTTGACTGGGACCTTACAGTCCGCAGGCTGACGCTCTATCCAGTTTCGGCTAAGTTCTTAGTTTTTAAAGTATTTTTCTGCCAAATAATTTATTCTTCAACGAGAAATTAGAGAAGTGCAAGTAAGTACAAATAGAAAAACTACTAATAAACCTACAATCCAGAAATAGCCAATGTTGTCATTTGGGGTTTTGCCCCTCCATACTTTTGTGTGAGGGTGAGGGGTGAAGTTCCTGGGAGATGCAGTGAAACATCTGCCTGTGCTCCGAAGAGCTGCGTCCTGTGCTGGGTGCCAGCCCCTGCCGGGGTCCTGGCTTCTCAGAGCAGGGGAGGCTGCATGGTCCTGGGCTCTCACCCCGCTGCCGTAAGAGATGCTCAGCGTGGTAAGCCCACAGCCCCTCTGAGCTGCTCTGTGCCTCTGCCACCCGCTGCCCGATGACGTGTCTGCCCTCTTCCCCGACAGCGCTGCAATTCCAAGTGTGTCTCAGAGCCAACCTTCTACCGCCTCGTGCAGTCATTTGCCGTGGTCCTGTTCGAGTAAGTAATGCTGTTGCCCAAAGCCTTTGTCCTAAGGAGCTTGTCTTCTCTTCCTCTCTTCCCGATGATAACCCGGTTGTGAGTAAGAGCCGCCGAGTCATCAGCTCGCAGCTGCTGTGATGCACCCAGCATCAGCTAAAAGGAGAAGTCGTGACCAGCAGCTGTGGGAGGGGGTTAGTGAGAAGCCTTACCGGCAGTGGAGATTGGAGGGTGCAGCTGGGTGTGAGTAAATCCCTCACGCGGGTCCCAGGGCAGGCTGTGATGACACACAGCTGACCTCACCCTCCTCCAGCAGAGATCTGAAATTTTCTTGATTTCCTGTTGTGAAGTACTTCAAGCTAGGTAACCGCCCACTTAATGATACTACTGGGTGACACAGCCTGCTCTGAGTAGGCATTTGGCACTGCTGGGCCTTTTCTCACAAAGGCGTTGGTAGACAGTATGTGTGTGGGGGTGGAAAGGGTCCCTCTGCCTCTGTGCAGCTGTGAGAGGCAGCCCCTGGACTCAGGCTCTCCTCCTGGGTCCCACGGCTCTAGGACTGCCAGGCCTGCTTCAGACGCCATGGACTTGTATCAGAGTGGGTGACGTGTCCTCCAAATTATGAATCTAAGGGACACATTTAGGCCTGGAGGAAGCCGAGCAGTGGCTTCAGTGATCCAGGTAGACAGCATGGATTGTGGATGGGAAAGGAAGAGGCTGGTCTGACAATCACTTAGTATCCTTCCCCCGTCACCTCATTGTGGCCTCAAAGCAGCTCCTGGTCCCATGGCTTCTACCATGGCCGCCTCCCTGTGTCACCATGTCTGTTTTGTCCTTCCCTTCCTTCTCACAACAGAAACGTAGCTCTTCTCTTCAATATTAACTTCCCCCCATCCCCCGTGTCTCCTCAGAACGTGGGGCATGTATTGGAGGAAAATGAGCAAAAGAGCCGAGGATCTGTGTCTCCTGTGCATCTCCAGAACATCCCAAGTTCAGGAGATAGTCCCGGGGGGAGGGGGGAGGAGAAACTGGGTGTGCCCCGCTTCAGCTGAGAGCTCATGTTGTCTTGTGTGCACCATGTTCTTAGATACAAGATTCTTCAGCTTCCAGACATTTGCATCTACAGAAGTTTTCATGAACCCATAGTTTGTGTAGATTGGGCCTGTCCCACACAGTAACATACTTATCTACTTCTCAATTTTTCTTTGCATTTTTCCTTAAATAAAATTGAGGGGGAACATTAAATTCAAGTTTCAACCCTGCTAACACACAATCTTCCCATTACTTTGTGAGCATATAATATATTGTTATAGGATTGCAAGCAAAACAAAACTTCATAATATTTTGAAATGTTTAATTTTTTGAAATATGAGTTTTATAATTTTAGTTTATTAGCATCTTGAGCTTTTACTTTTATTTAGTCTATATGGCTTTATTAGTAGTTTAGTTCTTTAAATTTATTAAATTATTTTTATATTAAAATAGCAACAAAAATGACCCAAACCCACTGTCTAGATCATTTCTATTGACTTTTTCTTCAATTGTTGTTTGTTCAAGTTTAAAAATTAAACTAGCTCTGGCTGATGTGGTTCAGTGGTTAGAACGTCGGCCTGCACACTGGAGGGTCTCAGGTTTGATTCCTAGTCAAGAGCACATACCTGGCTTGCAGGTCCAATCCCAGCTCTGCTTAGGGTGCATGTGGGAGGCAACCAATCAATGTGTCTCTGTCATATTGATGTCTCTCTCTCTTTTTCTCCTACCTCTCTCCTTTCTTCCACTCTCTCTAAAAATCAATGGAAAAAATATCCTCACTTCTCATGTGAATATTAAAAAATATCTAATTCACGTAACTCACATAACTGGACCAATGGCCATTATTTTCGTTGTCTCTCTAAGTAGCATCTGGGAAGTGAGGTATTAATTTGGGCATCTTTGTAAAGGATTTTGGTCTTTTTTCATGAACTTGGAATAAAAAGATCAGGTAGAAAGAAAATCAGATGGGGTGATTATTTAGCCAGTCAACCTTGCTTCCCATTTCAGATGTCATCAGATGGATGACTTCGGGCCTGCCAAGAACCTCATGACCATGTGCTTCACTTACTACCACATCGGTAAGACATGGACCTGGCTCACGTGGAGGGCAAACTTGGGAACTCAGGACTTGTCAACTTCTAACCTGGCATCAAGAGAGGATTTCTTCCTGACCAAAGACAAAGCTGTGAGGCTTCCAGAAGACAGTGAAGGCTGATGCCAGGGAGGGAATGAGCGAGGAGTGAGATTCCTGAGCAGGAGGAGACATGGTCTACCTAGTGGGCCAACCTCCAGCTGCTGGGAAGTGAGGAAACACTTCCAGCGGGCGTTTCATGATGGCGCAGGCACTGCTGGATGTAAAGACGTCAGCTTTAGGCTTGGCTGTTGCGGGAAGATGAGAGAAGCAGTCTGGATTCTGGGCTGGGAAACACTCCCAGGCATGGGTCAGGGTGCCTTCATGCAGAGTGCAGGCTGTTCTTCATGCTGAGATCTCACTCCTGGCTCATCCCAGTGGGGCTTTCTGGTATGCGGAGCTGGAGGGCTCCCCGTCTTAAGCTGCTATAACAGTCTCATTCGGGCCATGGAAGGAGACGTTGCTAGCCTGCATGGGGACTGGAGGTGGGTCAGGGCAATGCTAAGCGCTGCCTGCCTTTCCACCCTTTCTGCGTGACCAAGGGTTGATCTTGTGTGTATTCCTGTCCTCAAAATTTGACTTTGTCCTCTCCTCATTCCAACAGCCGTCCTCTCTGTGCCCCTCAGTTCTGTTGGCAGCAGCTGGTCTGTCTGCTTGCGCTTGTCCAGGCCACCACTGGGCAGGTTCTTGGTGCTGGGCCACTCATTAGCTGCCATTGGGTCAGATGGGAACCTGTCATCCAACCTGTGGCTCCTTCTTCTAGAACAGCTAGATGCTACTTATCTGAGTCAGATCTGTGCACAGAGCAGCTGAAATGAGGAGATACTCAGTACCTGTAGAGGCCCTTTGACCTGTAGAGGATGCCTTGGCCTATAGGGGCATCTGAGCCTGAAGGGATCACTTTTGACCTGAAGGGGGCATCTTGCCTGGGGGGTTTCTTGGTCTATAAGGGGGTGACTTGGCCTATAGGGGGCACCTTGGCTTGTAGGGGGCAGGTTGGCCTGTAAGGGTTGCCTTGGCCTGCAGCGGGGTCTTGGCCTGAAGGTCCATACACTGCCCTTAGAAAGGGACATTCCTTGTGTTGCCTCCACTCACACTCCTCCTCCCAGGACACCCTCCTCTGGCTATCTCCCTCACCCAGCACCCTCCTGTTTGAGGCCCCATGCAGGTGCCATCCGCCTGTCTGGAACCTGCACGCCTCCTCCCACCACAAGGAAATACCCTTCCTCTCTCGCCCTCCCCGCCTTGGCCTCTGCCATTGCCTTCCCTGCCTCTCACTGTGTGCATTGCTCACCTCCTTTCTGGGCTGCGTGCTGCTTTGGGGCTGGATCCTTGCCTGTTGCTCCTCTGGCCCCTGTGGCACCTGGCTGACTTCTTGTGCAGTCCGTGCTTAGTGATGCCCCAGACAGAAGGTGCCAGGCTCACGTCTTCCCTGGGGCACCTCTCAGCTGTGTCTTCTCGCTGCCGTGTCCGTGTCCGGCCATGTGGAAGGAGGCCTACTCACCACATCAGAGCAGCTCCGGGTCAGGGTGCCTTCGTGCAGAGTGCAAGCTGCCAGGCGTCTCTTCCGCCCTTTGTTGCTGCTGCTGCGCAGTGCGGTTCTTATTCCCACTTTCTTCCTCCTCTGCCTCCAGGCAAACCACACCTGCTTCCCTCAGAATCCAAGGAGAAGCCTGTAGGGAGCATCGACTCCTACCTGAAGTCCGCCAACAGCTGGTTAGCGGAGAAGAAGGACATCGCCGAGCGGCTGCTGAAGAACACGGCCAAGACGGAGAACGTCAAGGGCTTCTTCGGCGGGCTGGGGCCGCTGGTCAGGAAAAACGAGTAAGTGTCGCCTGCGGAGCTTCTGTCTCACTGGGGAGGGGCAGCGCTCAGGCGTGACCAACAGCTGAGGTGACTGAGTTCGAGGTGAGAGGAGGTGCTGGCCTGCTAATGACAGGCTGTTCACCCCTGACCCTCTTAGGGGCCCGGGAGCGGCTCGATAAGCGCAGCTGCCTGCCCGGCTTGCCTCCCAGTCCCCGCAGTTCTCTAGGGTTTCCAAATGGGTTCTGCTCGTCGACATACAGGGAGGCCCCTGTGGGTCTGTGCTTTCTGGATGGATGAGGAGCACTTGGACATTGTCAATTGGCGGGAGGGAAATGGCAGAGTTTTGAATGCAGAGAAAATGGCACAAAGAAGCCTAAATTAAAATAAAGACTGGCAATTGACCAATGTAGCATTGGTTTCATCAAAATTTGCTTTAGAGAAAACCACATGAAATGTACACACTGGTTGTGAGACTAAGTCCCGTTTCAGCAGTGTAAAGCGGTTTCTTTGAGAGAGTGTGGGGGTCATGTTGTCACTGCCATGGTCCCTCTCCCCCAGGGAGGAAGAGAGCAAGCCCAAGGACAAGCCGCAGAAGACTGGTGAGTGCCACCCAGCTACCCGGTCCCATAACCCAGGCCCTGCGGGATTCTCCCACCAGCCCCCCTTTAACTGGCAGCACCAACAGGCAGGCGCCTAACTGTCCTGGGCTGCACTGCTCCTGCAGCACAAGGCGCTGCCGTAGGTGACTCTCCAGTCCCTCTCAGCTCCCGTCTGTCTTCTTGCTCAATTTCCGTAGGAGAGCCAGTCCTTTAGGGAGAGGAAGCGGAAACTAAGCTCCTTATTCCAGATGTTCAGGGACAATATCACTGGGGGTGCAGGAGCCTTCCGGGGATCCCGCCCTCGGAAAGGGTCATTGCCAGGTGTGAGGAGCCTCATTACTGCCCACAAGCAGTGGCAACGCTGTCGTGCAGTTTCAACTGTGCAGAAGTGTGCATGCCCGTGGCCGCTGGGGAGCATCCGTGGCCTCAGCAGCATCCATGGGGTTTGCAACCAGAGCCATGCTCAGTCTTCCTCTCCCTCCCGCAGTGACCGTGTGCAGCCCGGAGGAGGAGAGGAAGGGGGAGAAGATCTACCTGTACACGCACTTGAAGCAGCAGCCCATCTGGTAAGGCCCCCTGGCACCTGGGTCACACCAGAAATGAAGGTCACTCACACACACAGGATAGCCAGATAAACAGACGAACAATAGCAGGGATGGTGAGGATGCGGAGAAATCGGAGCCCTCATATACTGCTGGCAAGCCTGTCACCTGGGGCAGCCACTTTAGAAAATAGTCTGGCAGTTCCTCAGAAGGTTAAACATAGTTACCTATGACCAGCAATTTCACTCCAGAAATGTACCCAAAAGAATTGAAAAAGGGTATTCAAGTAAAAGCTTGTGCATATTATCTTCACAATAGCGTTCTTCCTAAGAGCCTGATGGTGGAAACAATCTGGCTGTCCATCCCTACAGACATTTGCCGTATGGATACAGAGTGACCTGCTAGAGCGTGGTGACCCTGGAACAGATTTTGCTAAGTGAAAGGAGCCAGACCGAAAGACCAGATGGTGTGATTTAACTGAGATGTCAGGACAGGCAAATCCCTGGAGACAGAGTAGATTAGTGGTTGCCAGGGGTTGAGGGCATTAGGGAATGAGGGGCGACTGCTGATGGGTATGGGGTGATGAGACTATTTTGGAAATAGATGGTGGTGATGGTTGCACCACTCTGTGAATATACCAAAACCACTTACGTATTGCATGCTTAAAAGAGTGAACTTATGGTATGTGAGTTATATCCCAGTAAAGCCACTTTATATAAAGGTGCGGATGAAGTGAGAGGCCAGTGGTCAGGGGAAATGAGCACTTGGGCTGCTAATCCCTCTGCAGCCTCTCTATCCCCACATTTATTTACTCAAAGCAGGCAATGCACCAGCACCTGGATCCCCAGGTAGCAGGCATGCCCTCCCTCAGAGGTCAGTGTAGCTGTCGGAGAACTTGGCCACAACAAAGCCAGGGCCTGGCCAGAGGGCAGGGCTGGAGCTGTCCAGAAACTTCCCTGGGGAGGCCCCATCTGAGTTGGCCACTTTCAAGGGGAATCGGAGAAGTGGAAGCTGACCAGCCTGTCACAGCCCCTGGGCCTTGACTTGAAGGCTGTCTCATCACCTGCAATAGGGTTCCAGCCCTGAAGGGCCAGGCGATGAATATTTTAGGCTTTGCAGGCAACCACTCAACTTTGCTGTTAGATACTACCGTGTTTCCCTGAAAATAAGACATCCTCCGAAAATAAGATCTAGCGCATGGAAAGATAAGACATCCCCTGAAAATAAGACCTAGTGCAACTTTAGGAGAAAAAGTTAATATAAGACACTGTCTTATTTTCAGGGAAACAGGGTATGTGAGTAGGCGGGTCTATGTTCCTATAAACATTGATTGACACAGGCAGCAGCTGGATTCGGCCCACCCACCAAATCCATGCTTGGCTGATCCTGGTCTTCTTTAAGAGGAATGCTTCTTATTGTGTGTCCCTATAAACATGTTTGCCCTCTGCACATAGCCTGTCCCTGCCAGGTTCCATTTATGTCACCAGCACCTGTTCTGGAAAAGCAGATCTTTCTGAACCCCCTGCATTCTTTTGGGAGCCTCAGTGGGAGACAGAGAAGCGGGAAAGGGCTCCTTTCCTTAGTGGCTTCAGCTTTGACCTGGGGAATCCAGGGTTACCCAGCTCTGCCTCCTTCCTGCCTGCACTTCACCCAGGCACTCATGATGCTTGGCCGGGAGCCCCAGGGAGGCACCTGATTTAGGAATAAGGCTCAGTTGTCTTCCCATCTCAGCCCTGTCTCTCCGAGACCTATCCATCATCCGGATGTGTCTGGAAACAGCTTCCTCCCCCCTCAAATGGGCGGGAGCTGCCTCTCCCTCACTGCTGGGGAAGAGTGACATGTGTCTCTGTTTCACAGGCACACACTGAGGTTCTGGAATGCCGCCTTTTTCGATGCTGTCCACTGTGAGAGGAGAAAGCGGTCCCCCACGACCAGGTAGGAGCAACGCGTGGGCTGGCGCTCTGGGGAAGAGGACCCGGCGGCGCTTTCCCCCTGGTTCTGAAGAGGAGAGCAGAAGAACGGCTGAGTCCACGGGTCTCTCTCCTGCAGCCCCGGGCCGTTGCCTGCAGGCTGCCTGAGGCCCAGACGCAGAACGCCAGGGGTGGGTGGGGGACTTGCATGAGCTCTCCCTGTCCTGGGGCTGGCATGACTCAGCCTGACTCTCCTACGAAACGCAGACTCCCCCTCAATGGACCCCTCAGGACCCCTCGGGCTCACTGCCTGTTCTCTGTAAGAAGTCCGAATCCTGAGCATGAACCACTGCTGCAGGGTCCTGGGGTGCAGGGCTGGCCGCCACCCCCAGACTTGGCTTGAACATCTGGAGAAATGCGGTTGCTGCTTTCAACTTGCTCCTCTGGTTTGCAGCCCTTCCCAGCTTCCCTGGGGCTGGTCTCGCCGCTCCCGAAGACCCCTTGGGTGAACCGTTTCACCAAGCACATGGCACATGGTGGCAGTGAGGGGTTGGCACTCAGCTCTCTCTCTGGTCACAGTGAGCTGAGGTTGCCATGGGCTGGTGCTCTGTTCTCTCTCTGGTCACGGTGAGCTAAGGTTTCCCCCCACTGCGCACAGCGCTGGGCAGGACTGGCAGCAGCGCTCTTGTTGGCCTCCCTGGTGGGGACTTTGGAAACCTCTGAACCTCTCTCACTAACAAAATGAATCCCCTCCCTCCTAACCCCAGAGAGACCCCTTAACCTCGGTCCCTGGCTAGAGAGAGGGCAGATCCTGCCGTTTGAGTCTTCATCCCACTAGCACCTGGGGGAATTGCAGGTGAAACCTGTTTGGGAGCAAGGTGGCCTGCCTGTGCCCCAGCAGTCTGCCGTGGCTGAGTCTCCTGGGGAGGCATAGGGAGCACGCTGGGGTCGGGGGAGGATGCTGGCACTTCCCGAAGACTCTAGAGAGAACTCTACATTCGCCAGGGAACGAAGCAGAAGGAAGTGCTCAGATGCTCATAGGTGAATGGGGTTTCTTGCTGCTTAGCTCTCAAATCCCTAGGAAGCAGATTTACCTCAAATACGCCGCCTCTCTCTGTCCTTCTCCGCTTCTGCCTGTAATAACCCTCCTTCTTCCGCTTGTTCTCTTTTTCCATCCACATATCTTGCATGACTTTGACATGTTCCTCTGTTGACCTGTTTCTGCTGCCGCTCCAGAGGGGATGCTGGAGAGGAGGAGAAGAAGAGGTGTGTGTCCACGTGACGTTGTCCATGTGACAGTGCCGGGTCCCCTCAGGGCCACCTCAGGGTGGGCGGGGGTGGCCGGAGCCCAGACACAGGGGCCACTCAGCACTGGCTGCCAGCAGTGAGGCGGGGGTTCCTGGGGGCCAAGCTGGTGATGGGTGAGAGCTCTCCAAGGACAGAGCACCCCAAAATAGGAAAGAAACAAGGCACCCAGAAGGCCCAGTGGGAGTTCAGAGAGGAGAGAATGGTGAAGTCCAGAAAGTCAGCTCCAATTTCAAGCAAATCAAGCTTTCCGCCGGCCCCTCTGGCTCCTTCCAGGCCGACCTCACAGCCACACCCGTATCTTCACTGTGTCACACTGGAATCCTGGCTCCGAAGCCCGGGGCAGGTGCAGGGGACACTCAGTCACATGCTCGGTGTGCAGGGGTCTGCCAGACCCTCGCCGCCGTAACAGGGTTGGGAGTCACAAGAAAGGGGCAGCTGCTCTCTCTCCCAACCTACGGAGCCCGTGTACATGAGGGGTCCCCGGGAGAAAGGCCGAGCATGGGGTTGTTTCCTGGTAGCCCATGGTGGGGTCTGACTCTAATAGAACTTTCTATTTGTTGGACTTCCTTTGTCATACTGCCTCTTCAAAATATCGTTTCTGATACAAAGATTTCAACATGCTTCCTTTAATCAGTAGTGTAATTTTGGTGCTTACTCTTTTGTGAGAAAATTTGTTTTTTATGCAGCCTTCCTATGGCTCTGAAAGGGGCATGCAGGCATAACCAGGATCTGCTTTAGGAGAAAGCCCCTGAGTTCGCACAACCTCTGTGGGTGAGGTGGTGACCAGCTTCCTGGAGCAGGCTCCTTCGCCTCAGCCAGAGGGTGGGGGCATGTGGCCGCCGGCCACTCAGCGCCCAGCCTGGGAGCAGGCCAGCCTCTGGGCCTCACAGGCCTTCTCGCTGGGGCAGAGGTGGTCTGACCACACACATCTCAGACCTGCTCCCGACGCCCAAATGTGCCCTAGGCTGTACCTGGAAGAGGGGCAGGTGTGGCTTTTAAATTGGGGGCAGAAGGGTCAGCTCCGACTCCAGGGCAGCTTGATGCCTCCGTATTATTCCTCCTCGTTGTAAACTGCTACGGTGCCATTAGTGACCTCGGGTGGGAACACCTCCTGTGACAGCTCCCCATTCTACGGGCTGTTGGTCACTCCAGTTCCCACTGCTGCAGTCTAGATGCATGTCCCGCCCCCTGGGAGCTTTAGAACTCGGCTGGGACTGGGTGGTGGACTGTTTAAAGGGATGGATTTGGTTGTAGGCATCCCCTTCCACCTCTTTCTTCAGAGGTCAGAGTACAGGTCCCCGTTCCACTCCTAGTCACAGAAAACAGAATCCCTCTGCTCCTGGGCCCAGAGGGGCGGAGTCAGGGCTGCTGGGCCCTGACTCCAAAGGATTGGGTCTGTGCAGCCTGCAGCCTGTACACCTGCCCCAGCGGCCTGGGGGCAGGATGGGATCTGGGTGCCTGGACAGCTCTAAGGGGACCTCTGGGGAGAGAGGGCGAGGTTAGCGCAGCACCTGGGAGCAGAGGCAGGCTGGCTGCCTGCCTGGGTGTCCTGTCGGAGGCAGAGGAGACACATGCCCTTGCCTCCCTCTTGCCCATGTCCTGGGCCTCCCGCTGAGCGGCAGTGGCACCTGGGGAGTCCCAGGCCGGGAGGGGCGGGTGAAGTGTTGATGTTCTTGGTGTTTCTTTTCCTCTGGCTTCTCCATTATCCCAACCCCTCGTCCCTCATACTGCCTCCTCTCTCCCTTTTCTCTGATCTTCCTCTTAATCTTGTTTTAATCAGACTCTTCATCCAGAGTTTTAATTTTTAGGGGGAATTAGGCTAAAATGAGCTTCTCACCATCTGCACCTCCTGCAAGTAGCACACTTCAGATGCAGGGGACACGGGGGCAGAGTAGCGCAGGGGTGGGATGGCCACACGTCCACTGGGGACAGGGCAGGGAGAGACAGTGGGGACAGCTTTCAGGCAGGGACAGCATGAGTCACTCAGAAGAACACCTTCCCCTCTCTGCATCCTTTTCTCACTTTGTGTTAGAGGCTTTATGCCGTCTTCATGGTGGGCACAGGTCCCCGTTCACTGGGGCCTGCGGGGAGGACCTGAGTCTGGCCCACGCACCCAGGAGGGTGTGGACAGGCAGCGCTGGCGGTGAGGAAGCCGCAGGGAGAGAGTGACCGCAGCCCCCAGGCTGCCTGACCAGACAGTGAAGGCGGCAGGCCCTCCGGCCCCCTGCTCCCCGTGCCTTGGGCATAGCTGCCCACAGCGGGCCGTGCCCTCCCCGCAGGCCAGAGCCACAGAGGCCCGAGAGCCTCTTCCCGGGGTCTGGACGTCCACTCACCACGGGACCCACAGGGCTCTTTCCTCCTCATGTCTCTGTCCGTAAAATGGGCCGTGACCTCCCACCCTCAAACCAAAGAGAAGGGCATGGGGGTGGCATTCTTAGCTCCGGGAGAATGTCCTAGGCCAGTGGTCGGCCAACTCATTGTCCACAGAGCCAAATATCAACAGGACAACGACTGCAATTTCTTTGGAGAGCCACATTTTTTTAAACTTAAACTTCTTCTAACGCCAGTTCTTCAACATAGACTCGCCCAGTCCATGGTATTTTGTGGAAGATCCACACTCAAGGGGCCAAAGAGCCACATGTGGCTCGTGAGCCACAGTTTGCCGACCACGGTCCTAGGCAACCACCAAGCACCTGTCCCCTCCCGTTGGTGGTAGGAAGTGTCTGAGCTTTGGGCCCTTCTCATCTTAGGAAGGGTGACATTAGTAACTGGGGGGCCCTCAGGCAGTGGGGACGCTGGCGGGCTTCCGGTGGGGAGGCCCTGCGTGGGCACCGCTGACGCCGTAGGTCAGAGCAGGGCGGGGAGTGGCCGGGCGCAGGGGCGCTCTGAACGGCCTCCTGCCCCTGTGCTTGCAGGGAGAAGTGGTGCCACATGACACAGGAGGAGCGGGACGACAGCCTGAGGTTCAATGAGAACATCACCTTCGGGCAGCTGGGGTAAGAGCAGGGGCCCAGCCCCACCCTCGTGACACCGGGTCACCCACAGCCAGAGAACAGAGCAGAGGCGCTGACGCCGACACCCACGCTGGGTGGGGACGCTCCCACCCACGGGGCGCGCTCGGTGACAGGGTCAGCACAGCGAGAAGCTCAGACACCTCGGCAGCATGTGACTCATTACATTCGGCCTGGATTCCGGTCCCTCTCACCCACCTCCTGTCTCCACACCGGAGGCGGCACTTCCACAGGGAGCCGTTGGCCGGCTGACAAGGACCGGTTTATTTTTACTTCTGTCTGACAGTCCCAGGCAGGCGGCAGGCGGCAGAAAGAAGGGCGGGTCTGGTTCCCCCCCCCCGCCCCCCCCCCCCCACCGGAGGGCAGGAGGGTGCTAGCTCATGGTGTTTTCTCTCCAGCACGTTCACTCACAACATGCTGGCCTTCGGGCTGACCAAGAAGCTGTGCAATGACTTCCTGAAGAAGCAGGCTGTGATCGGCAACCTGGACGAAGGTGAGTCTCGGCCAGAGGCAGGGCTGCTGTCCCAGGGACCAGTGCTCTGCAGACCAGGCTCCCCGCCTGCTGAAGGCATGGCCCCCGTTTTAGCGAGAAGTGGGGTGCTAAGTCCGCTGGGTTGCCCCTCCTCTGTCTCTGTCGACTTAAATGCACAAGACACTGCTCGCGCTGTTTGGAAGCAATTTCAGCCCGGAAGGGTTGCCAGGGGCGGGGGAGCTTGCAGTGCCAGGTCAGGGACAAGGGTAAGGATGTAACTGGGTGCTCAGACTCTGAACTTAAAAATGGCCACACTCACCACCAGCTGCCCCTCCTTCTAAATGGCCACCACATGACCTCCCTTTGTTTCTTAAACCTGCTGCAGTGGGCGGGCAGGTGGGGAAGGTGGAGGGATATGGAGGTTTATCTAGAGTTTCTGCTTCTGTAACAGAAGGGGATCCATTGCTGATGTCAGCTCCCCCGACATAGGGCTGTGCCCACCTTCATGCACCACCCCACCTGCTACAAACAGCATTTCTTCCAGGCCTCCAAGCCTTCCTTCGGTGCATATTTGGATTGGCCAATGTTGTGTGTGTTTAATAAAACTTCATCCTGCTCTGGTCAGGTAGCTCAGTTAGTTAGAGCAACATCCCAATATGCCAAAGTTGTGGGCACATACGAACATCAACCAATAACTGCATAAATTAAAAACAAAAAAAACAAAAAAAACAAAACAAAAACATTATCCTGCACCAAATTGAAAGCGTTACAAAAGAGTGGCCTCAAGAAGGGGAGAGTTAGAGGCGTCCCCAGATTATCTCAGATGTTGTCATCAGGCTGCCACACCAGCAAAGGGCAGGAAGCCCATTCCTCTCCCACCATGTGCCTCCCACAGGCTTCTGGGAGGGCCCGAGGGACCACACTCTGTATTTTGGTTCCCATGGTGCCAGGGAGCCCATTTGCAGGTGCATGTCCACACCTGGCCCTGACGTGGTCCTGACTTGTCATTGCCTCGGTGAGAAGAGCAGGACTCGCCTGCCCATGCCACCATTCTTTCTACAAAACGCACTGTCCTCTCTTCCAGAGCAATACAAGCTGCTGAGCGACCACATCGAGCAGATGGCCGCCGAGTAGGCCACGGCGTCGCCCAGGGCACTCCTCAGGACCGACGGGCTCCGCTCTCCTGGGCCAGCGACTGGCTGTCACCCACCTGATGACCCTGCATGACACCGGCAGCACCCAGCGCCGCCCCACGCTGCCCCAGAACTAGCGGTTAGAAGACCCCGGCTGCCCGCCTCCCCTCCCCCTCGCCTGTGTCTACTCCCCCGCTCACGTGCCAAAGTGTCCCTGGACTGTGTGACTAAAACGAGGTGACGTCCACCCTCCCACGTGCCAGGCCTGTGGCATGGAATTGAAGGAAGAGGAAGGAGGCCAGGACCACGGTGGGCTCAGGGCGGTGTCTGCCCGCAGCCCCTGCAGGACAGGGGGGTGCGTGGGAATGCACACAGGCAGCCCTGAGCCGGCCACGATGGCACAGCAGCTGGAAGGCGGTCTGGGGCTCTGCTTCGGGCGTGGGCAGGGCAGGCTCCCATCGGCTCCTGCTGCGCGGACGTGTGGCGGGTAGGGCCTCTCAGTGCTGGTCCATGCCGGTGCCGGCTTCTTCCTGGCTCCCCCCCCCCCCGCCGCCGTGTCACAGGAACCAGAATCACAGGAATCTCCAGGAGGTTCTCATTTAGGGCGGGAGAGAGCCTAGCGCAGAGGGCCTGGCCTCAGTCTGTGTGGAACACCCGAGAGGTCACCGCAGCGGTCAGCCCAGCGTGAGGAGTCTGTGTCGCCGTCGGAACTGTCCCCGGTCAGCTGGCAGCGCCCTCTCGCTCGCTGGGAGTAGCCTCAGCCGTCCGTCCCAGGAAACAGCACAGGAAAGAGAGTTTTTCAGTGGCTGCAAGACAACTGCCCTTTCTCACAGCAAACAGTGCTGCTCTTCATTTCAGAGAAGGGACACAGCTGGGCGCAGGCGGCTCCTGGTGGCAGAGGTGTGAGGCCTGCTAGCAGAGGGCAACAGAGTGTTCCGCCCTCCACCCCTGGCAGCCGTGGGGAGGCGCCTTTTCCTGCTGCAGCCCAGGCCCCATTGAGCTCTTTCCTGCAGGTAACCCCTCCCCCATCCGGTGCCTGGGAAGCGGGACTCCTCCCTGAGTGTGTACCAGGCATGGCTCACCAGCCAAGTACACTGAAGTCGGCCAGCATGCGTCCGGCATGCTGGCTCCTCCAGTGGGAGTTTCTCAGCCTCGTTCCTCCTGGGCACTGACCTTCAGATGGGCTCCTGGGGCTGTCTGTCCTCCCTCCTGTTTTCCCTACTACCTCCTCCAGCTCGAAACCACAGCACATGACTGTCTCCTCTCGAGCACAGCGGATGCATGCCCGGTGGTCACTCATCCAGCCAGTGCTCGGACGGACGGGCACTGATGGAATGCCTCCCTGGAAGGTTCCAGAGAAGAGCAGGTGCTGGCAGAGCCATTGAACGCACGTCTGGATGATCATGAGAAAGTGTGGTCTGAGTGTGTGGCGTAAATGTCGTCAGCTGAAAGCGTGTGTGTGTGTGTGTGTGTGTGTGTGTGTGTGTGTGTGTGTGACGTCAGCCTCCCTGGCGATGTCACTAAGCGAGCACAGCTGTGCTGCTGGTGTGCCTGCCGCCGTGTGTCTGAAGGTTGCACAGGCAGGCGTGTCCTGCCCCCAGCCCCATTTCCAGGCCCCAGTGATGGCAGTGTCTCTAGGAATACATTTCGGAGAAATAACAAAATGGAAGGGTGTGTGGACCTCCCTCATCCAGTGCCTCCTCTAGGTAACTCATCCCCCTCAACCATCCAGCCCTGAGCCCTGGATGCGCTGCTGTGCCCCCTCCGCACCCCTCTAGGACCAGGGCCTCCCCGAGGTCTGTCCGAGCTTGCAGGGCTGCAGAGGCCCCTCAGCTTGCTCGTGTTGCTTTAGCAGTCATTTCCGAGCAGCTGAGATGAATTAAGATTTCAAGACGCCCCGAGTGCTTAGCCCTGTGCTCCAAGGAGTTGGTGGGAAGCTTTGGTTAGCGTGGTTTCTGGAGGAGGAAGGGTGTGTTCGGAGACTTTCCTGGGAGCTGCGGGGTGGGCCGGAGCGGCCTTCAGGAGGAAATGCAGCTTTGGCCTCTACAGGCTTTTCCAAACACTTTAATTCCCAGAAGATCTGGAGACATTTTTTAATCAATAGGCCCCTGGAGATGGCAGTTGAAAGTGGAAGGAAGGGTTGCTTTGTTTTCCCCTATGAGTCCTGTTCTCATAGATCCAGCTCCTCAATGGGGGCCAGGAGGCTAAGTCTGGCCCTAGAGGTGCTGCCTGTCATGCCCAGCCCCACAGGGAGCGCTGGCTGAGACCCTGGTGCGGCCCGGCCAGGGGGATGGGGGCTGCTCTGTCTCCCTTGGCAACTGCCTTTGGCTGAGCATTTCACCTCAGACTGCCTCCTGCAGGAGCGGCTCCTTAGAAGGCTGGCAGCTTGCCTCAGTGGTGTTTCCTCTCCTCTCTGTGACGTGGTCTCCTCCCTCCAGGGTCTGGCAGAGCAGAGGGGAAGGGTCTGGGGGGACGAGCAGACCCAGGACGCACTCTCAGAGGCCCTGGTGAGGAGCTGGCTCACCCTGTGCCCACACAGGACGCTTGGGTCATCGAGCTCTGGGCCCTTCCCGTAAGCCCCTGAGCCCGAGCCGCGGAGCAGGAGGCTTCAGGTGGAGTCCAAGGGGAGCGGTCCCGGTCCCAGCAGGTGCAGTTTCCCAGGCCCAGCCATTAGGCCTGCCATTCGCAGTGCAGCCCAGCTTTCCTGCTGGCTGCCCCGGGCTGAGGCATAGTGAGCCAGAGACATGTGATGCTCACAAGGGAGACGTTTCCTGCTTGGAAAACGGAGGTTGAAACGCAGCCTTGTATGTTTTTAAGCTTTGTTATAATTTTCGCAATGCTTGTGGGTGTTAAGTGGGGCCACGTTAGTATTCGGATTGCCTGTGTGTGTGTGTGTGTGTGTGTTTAACCAAAGGGAGGGAGAGCCAAATTCTGATATTGTAAGTACTTTGTACAGTGAGATGAATAGTCTGAGCTTCCTATTGCCAACGGAAAGAAAAGTGGGCCAAGAGGCTCTTACGTCACAAAAGGACTGGGAAAGGAGTCCACTTCCTAGTTCTGCTCCCAACGAAGGCCTGGGTGTTGGGGTTAACCCCGAGAGCCCCGGGGATGCCGGGCAGCGGCCAGGGAGGGAGTCAGGCACCTCCCGTGGATCCTGCTCTCACCTCTCCCTGCCCAGGGAGACCGCGGGATTCATGTGGCTACAGGGCAGCAGCTGGAGGTTCGCTCTTTCACGGACCATTTTATGTGGCTAATTTACCACCCGGCCTCCTGATGCGAGAAGCACAGCATTCATGTGCACAGGAGTTGGTCCTGGGCTCTGTCTGGCCTGGGTGTTCGTGACCGGAAGTTAGGGCCACAAACTGCAAGCCTGGCCCTCCTGGGCATTCCTGTGCCCTAACCTTTGGCTTTTTAATTAGGGAATAGCCAGGTAGACCCATGGTTAGGTCAGCTTGATTGCCAAATTACCCAAAACTTAAGACAGCTATGCAGCAGGGGGCTGAGTCCTTAGCCCAGAACTGAGGGAGCTTGGGAATCAGGGAAAGGGCAGGAGGGCTTGAGGCCCAGCCCCAACCTCAGGAGACGGGTGCAGCACGTCCCGCCCACCACACCCAGCAGGTCCAAAGGTTTCATTAAACCAGCAGCTGCCAACCTTTCGGACCTCAAGGACCACCAGTGGTTCTCGGACCACTGGTTGGCGACCACTGGTCTAGAGCTAATTTCCTCTTACCTTCCTCAACCTTAGATGAAACTGCTCCAAGGTTATTCTTCTCGCCCCTCCCACACCTTCCCAGCCTTTGGTTCTCCTGTACCATTGCTCTGACGACTCAGCCGGCTCACCCAGCTTTTCTGTAAACCATTTGTTCCTTCTCGTGTTTCTCTGGGATGTTTTATTTGAATGGCTTTCCGCCCAGCTTCCCCTTGAAGGGAAGTTGTGTGACCAGAAGTACCTCTAATGGACTGGTGTGCGGTGTTCAGGCCCCAGGCAGGGCAGGACTTACTTAGCCACACGGGCCATGTGTCCGGCATGTCCTTACCCCCGTGTGGCCGGGAATAGGAGTGTGTTGGTTCTCCGGAGAACAGATGGAGGAATCATTTCCAGGCTGTTCACAGCCAGCGAATACAGCCATGCTGAGGCCAAGGCAGGCTCTCAGGGGTGTCCCCTACCCTTTCTGGGCCTGTCCATCATACTCCTCAGGAGGGATGGTTCCCTGGGTAACCAAGCTGGTGTCAGCCTGTGTCCCCGTCAGCAGCTGGTGAGTGGAAACCAGGGTTGAAGTGGGGCAGAGCTCCCAGGGGCGGTTCTTGGTTGCTGTGGGAAACGCATCGTTTTCAGGACCGAGCCAGGATGGTCTGGGCCCGCCCTCCCTGTCACACACACAGCTCTCTCGGGGCATCTGCCCCAGGGGGAGCCAGACCCTGGCTTGACCTGCAGACTCCAGGCGTTGACAAGGCCAGTCAGACCTGAGCCCTGTAGCCTGGAGCTCCTCTGCGCTACCCCTGACTGGGATTTGCACTTTAACCATAAAGAGGACTCCTGCTAGCAAATCCCCATGGCCCTGAAGGTCAGTCCTAGGATGGGGGGCTGTGCCAGTCTCCCCTACGCCCAGGGCCATGTGCTCGTGAAAGGAGAACGGGATGTGGGGTGTGCACGGTGGTTCCACACGGGGCCTGATGGGTGGGATCCTGACCTGGAGACAGTAAGGCTTACGTCCCCCTGCCTGTGAGGTCATGAGCAAGCCCGGCTGTCACTTCCCAGGGACCCCTTAAGACAAGCCAACATTTGAACATTAGAAAATGCCAGAATTTCAACAACAGCACGATCCCCTGAGAACCCGTGAGTGGGTTGGGACATCGGTCGCCTTGGTGACACGGTTGGCTCCCACTGGGGCTTCCGGTGGGGTTTACACACGCACATCCCCCGTTTTCTCTCTCACCCAGTTTGTCTCACGCCTAAGCCTGCCTCTGGACATCACCTTTCGGAGCCAAGGCGGCGTTCGGGCCTTTTATGTGTTGCGGTTGTACAATGTGTCCCACTGGGTGATGCTCTGCAAACTGTACTTTTGGTCAACAGAGTTTCACGGTTGAGGATCTCAGAACGGTGCCGAAATGAAGCACTGCTGTTGCTGGGAGGAAAAAGAATGTCCGTATATTGCACCTTGGACTGTCAGAAGGTGGAGACTGAAATAAATTATCATTGAAGAAAAAGTCAGGCTGCCTGGTTGCTTGTTTACATATCCCCAAGAAATTGCAGTCTCAGTGATATCAGAGGCTTTTCAGAGAATAACTTTTTTTCTGAAGTCAAATAGATGTCACCATTTGGGGAGTGTCCGGGTCTTGCCCAGATGTGTGCGTGTCATGGGAAATGCCAAGAAGTGATTCCTCTGAATGATACGGAGCCTGGAGCTGCGTGGGCACTTGGGGGGTAGGCCCTAGGAATGGAGTGGCCCCACCTGGACTGAGCCTCAACCCAGGGCCTCCAGATGCCTCAAGCCGCTTCCATCTGGAATCCTAACCCTGCGTTTCCTCTGAGCCAAGCTGCTCGCCTCTTGCATTTGGGGGTTTGAGGGGCAGTACTGGGAACTGATGGAAGCGCCTACCCAAAACAAACAGGTGTGTTTATTTGTCCTTTCCAACTTGGCTTGACAGGGGCATTTTGTGAAATACTTGGGCTTTTTTTTTTCTAATTAAAGGAAGTCAGTAGCCTCGTTCTAATGCTCTGGCCCAACCAGGTCTGGGAGGTGAAGTGAGGAGCAAGGAAGGGCCTGGAGAAGGAGTCCTTGGTACTAAAGCCTGAAACAATAGCTCAGCTCGAGGGGCCCAGGGCAGACGGTTCGCCACACGGTGAGGGGGGCTGGGCATGCTCCCTGTGCTCAGTGGGGTGGGGCCCACCTCCACGTGCCCCACTCTCCCACCCACACTTGAGGACTCCAGCCCCTCCTAACCATACACGGAGGGACAGCCTGGATGGCGGATGCCCCAGCTTGGACATCACATCTGATGTTTCCCCTGGGGCTAGGAGTATCCCACCAGCAGGAGTAGCTCAGGGCTAGATTTAGAGGCAACTCCAGGGAAGGGGAAGGACCCCTCTGATGGGCAGCGGAACCCTGCAGAGCGGGTCAGGGCGGGAGGCCCAGGTCCTGTTCCACCTTTCCCATAACTCCGCCAAATCATTGTTTAGTCCTCAGTTTCCTCACCTGTAAAACGGGAAGGAAATCATCACCTATCCCAAAAGGTTCCTGTGAGAATCAAATGCAAATGCAAATGCAACATATGCAAATGGCAGAGTTGTGCTTATCACCATCCAATCCAATTCAATCCCGATCTCTCATTTTCCTGATGGGAGGCATACCCATGGGAAGGGTCCTACCCATTAAAGAGAAAGAACCAACGTGTTGTGTTTCAAGTTTATAGGAACAAATTTAAAATATAGTATTCAAAATTCACAAACTAAATAGAAAAGGAATTTAAACAATTAAGCTTTCAAGTGGTGTTTCTTTGCAAGTTGCAACCTTTTGCTGACTTTAGCAAAGCTTAAACCTGGACTCACACTTCCGGAACTCCGAGTGATGGCTTTTCCCCTCAGACTCGTGCTGCTCCTGTCGGCCACATGCCTCCAGCTCCCCTGCCTCAGCGCCAGGTGGCTCTGGTCCTCTGAAGAAGCCTCTCAGCTCTTCCCAGACCTGGGAGAAGAGCCTTGCTCTGGAAGTCATTTATTCACGTCATGAGACGTGGCTTCCTCAGACATCTGCACAGATTGCTTGGGGAGCAACAGGGTGAGTTTGCTCAGTGAGGAGGAGGGGAAAGCAAGGGATGCAGAGGAAGGAAGACCACCCAATCCAGTGGCTCAGGGAGACCCTGGAGTCATGCTGCTTCTGGCTCTACCAGCCCCACTTCTTACCTGGGGCCCCAAAAGAGAGAACTTAGAAGTTTTGTTGCCAGTTTCCAAATGACACCTCCCACCCCCAAGGAGATAGTAACAAGGATAGCCAGCTGTCTGAACCCTGTACCTAGGAACGGTTGTTCTCTGGGTATGTTGGGGCCAGAGGGGAAAGGGAGAGGTCAACTTATTTAGTGAGCACCTACTATGTGCCAGGCACCATCAGGCTCCAGGACTACCAGATGAATAAGCAACTTATTCATCAGTAGGGTTGGGGCACAACTGAAGATTTAAAAACTACATTTACGTGTGTGTGTGTGTGTGTGTGTGTGTGTGTGTGTGTATACATATATATACTTATCGTATCAAGTATAAGATAAAAGATATAGTTGAAATGTGAATATATATAATATATAATACAATCTATGAATATGGTATTTTATAAGTTACCTATGATATAGAGAATTTAGAATGCTTTAGTTATTTTTAGAATGTCCTTCTGGGTGGAATCGGGGTGGGCTTCCCTGAGGAGGAGCCAGGGAGCTGGATTCCGGGTAATACAATCACTGTGGTGAGGATGTTCATCCTGCAGTGACCCCCGTGACCCCTCTGAAAACTGAAATAATTTATCATCGAAGGAAAAGTCAGGCTGTCTAGTTGCTTGTTTCACATACCCGTGAGAAATTGCAATCTTCTCAGTGATATCAGAGGCTTTTCAGAAGATAACTTTTTTTCTGGAGTCAAAGAAATGCTGTCACCAATGACGACTGATGAGAAAATCATGTACCCACCCCTTCCTTGACCAGCATCGCCCCTCCACTTCCCTGGACTTCTGTGATGTGTCCCCAGTCCCGAGGTCTTCCCTGCATACCATGTTCATCAACTCACATGTATGTAAGAGTCAACAACTTACATGATGTAAGAATCAACTTACATGTTGATGTCCTAACTCCCAGGGCTTCTGAAAGTGGAAATAGACTCTTACTTGTAATTGGTTAGGATGGGGTCATCCTGGATAGGGCAGCGGGGCTGGCATCTTTATAAAAAGAGGGAATGTGGACTCCAGCACATACACTGGGGTCCCCAGGTCATAGTGGGAAATGAGAGTCAGCACGAGTCAGGTCGGGATGCACCCATTGTGTATTGACACCCATTCTGCGGCAGGCACCATGCTGGGCACCTTGAACCCCAGAGCCCCCTGGGAGGTGAGAGATATTGTCCCTGTCGTACAGACGAGGAAACTGAAGCTCAGAGGACACATGACTTGCCAGGGATACGCAGCAGGGTCCCCCCAAACATCCAGGTCAGCCCCTACTTTCTGGACTTGGAAGTTCTCATCCCATTGATGGAGTCCCTGTCCCAGCCCCCGAGGTCCTCCTCCTCCAGCTCCTCCTCGGGGAAGTCGTCCTCACTCGCCTCCTCTTCTTTTCTCTGGCTGCGCGTGGTGCTCTGGGCGCTCTAAATAATAACCACCATCATCGTCACAGCGACATCCATGATATAACTGAACATCCATGACAATAACGATGGCCACGAGTATGGAGCATTTCCTAAATGCTTTGTGTAGGTTTGTTCGCCTAACATTCGCCACAGCCTTACGGAGGGGGGACTGTTATTAGCCTCACTTTGCAGGAGAGGAATCTAAGGCACAGAGAGGCTAAGGAATTCCCAAGGTCACTCAGCTCGGGAGCCGTGGATTTGGATCCAGTTGGCCTGCCTGGGGCGGTACTTCCTCTGCTGCCTTTGGGGAGAATGACTCAGAAAGTCAACCCCCCGCCCCCTCCACACACTGTGGGGAGAGCTTCCCCCTCGCCCCCACCCGCTGGGTGACTGAACCTACCCTATTGGCAGGAGGCTGCTTCCAGTCTGTACTTAGGCTGCCTCCCTTAATACCTAGAGGACCATCCTGAGCCCTGGCTTCTCAAGTGCACATTTCTGCAGGGGGCCTCTAGGGGGCGTGCGGGACACGTGCTATAATAGCAGCACTTCCTCGGCATCTCCTTTCAAACCCATGTTCTCAAATGGCCTCCCCTCCGGTCGCTTCGCTTTGTCACAGGTGTGACAGCCCCCCTTCACCCCCCTCTCCCCCTCGCCCCCGTGCTCACCTGGCTGGGGCGAGACCACGGAACAGCTGCGGAGGGAGCCGTGTCCCTGCGGGGCCGCGCGTCCTTCTGCCCATAAACTCCGCGCATCTTGGCTCTAAAATCCTGCCACGGAGAGACTCAGGGGGGTCAGATCCAATCGGGAAACAGAGGTAGGGGAGTGGGAGTGGGAAGATGGTGGGGCACAGCTTACACCGCCGGAGCCCCCACCCGCACCGACCTCTCTGGGAACCTCCTGTTCAGTATTCTATGCGACCTACGATAGCCCCTGAAGTGGGCGTTCTCGACCCATTTTGTAGACGGGGAAACGGAGGCCCAGAGGCTGGGTACACAGGAAAATCAGAGATCACTGTCCCCCCTACAGGCGTGTCACGGGGATGACTGAGCAGGAGAGCCTGGCCAATGTGCTTCTGACCTCCCGGGGTGGTCTTAGAGCCCCTACACATTCTTTGACCTGCCTCCCACCAGGAGCTGGGATGCAATCCTCCTCCCCTTGAATGCTGCCCCAGTGACTCACTTCTAACAACAGAATGCAGGAGAAGTGACCCTAAGTTACTTCTAAGGTTCGGTCACCAAAGGGGACAGTTTCCTCCTGGCTCAGTCCCGGGACGGACGCTGGCTCCTGGACCAGCCGCCACGCTGTGCGGAGGCCCACGCCTCCCGGAGAGGCTGCCGCAGGCCTCCGGGCTCCAGGGCCCTGAGCTCAGAGGGAACCGCTGGAGACGCTTAATGACTGTCGGACAGTGTGGCCCACGTTCTCACTTTGCACTGAGCTCTGCAAATCCCAGGGCCTGTCCTGTACCCGGACGGCAGCCATCAACCGCCAGACGGGGAGCAGCCGGCCTTGGGCAGGTCCCCAGCCCAGCTACGCCCGATTGAACACGGACCACAGGCCCAAGGGAGGGCCACCCAGCGGCGCCCACCCACCCCAGAGCCACCACGGGACCGGGACACGTGACTGCATGGCCGTCGTGTCCCAGGTCACAGCGAACGCTCCATTTCCATTAGCTCAGGCGGGTCATGAGCTCCGCGAGAACATCCCAGCAACAGCGCGCATCCCCCTGGAGAGGCTTTTCTCGTGGCCGATTCACTTGCTGGTTTTTAAACAGGGACCCAGGGGCACAGGTTTACGACAGCTCGTCAGAATGAGTCTTTCAAATGCTTTAAAAATCACAGCATGTTGCCAACTTGCTTCTATCAAGACAGAGCCCAAACCGAATTCCGCCCCGGCCACCCACCTGCAGGTCCCCCTCCAGGTCGTAGTTCTCCAGCGTCTGGAAGGCGCTGGAATACACCTCCACCGCTTTGGCGTGGAAGACCATCTCAATGGTCACGAAGTCCAGAAAAATTTTCTGTGGAGAGGGAATCACATAAGCAACGCTGTCAAAAGAAGAGTCCGGGGTCACCTCAAATGTGGGCAAACTGGGGGGCGAGGAGGCATCAGCCATCTTCATGGGGATAGGTCCTCGGTCAGTGTTATTTTTAATTTATTCGAACAGATAATGCGTTCCCGTTCGTAAGCTTATTCCGGAAAGGCAGAGGCCTCCTTCCTCAGAGAGGACTTTCTGAAGGGCCTCCTTCCTCAGCTGTCGCCCTGGGCTCCTTCACCCTGCAGGCTGACGACTACAAGCCTCCAGCCTCTGCCACCCACGGGCTGTGAGTGGGTCTTCCGGGAGAGGGAGGGGAGCTGCTGGCAGACATGGCTCAGCCCAGAGGCTCCACAACCTGGCCTGTTACCACATTAACATGTAATTAGATATTGGCTTCTCTTGATCAAATGGTTCAGCTTGTCTCAGTAAGCTCTTTTAGAGTTTCTACTGCCTGTTTGGCCCCAGTGGAGGCTCCTACTGTGTGGATGCCTAGTACAAGCTCCTACTGTGTGCAGGCCCAAGAGGAGACTCCTGCTGTGTGTCATGCTCAGCACAGGCCCCTTTGTTTTTTGTGTTTTTTTTTTTCTTTCAAATATTTTATTGATTTTTTTACAGAGAGAGAAAGGGAGAGGGAGAGAGAGTTAGAACAATTGATGAGAGAGAAACATCGATCAGCTGCCTCCTGCACACCTCCTACTGGGGATGTGCCCACAACCAAGGTACATGCCCTTGACCGGACTTGAACCCAGGACCCTTCAGTCCACAGGCCGATGCTCTATCCACTGAGCCTCACCGGCTAGGGCAGCACAGGCCCCTTTGTGTGTCAGGCCCCAGCAGAGGCTCCTTTGTGCTTGGGGCCTATTACAAGCTCCTCCTCTGTGTAGGGCCCTCCCAGGGCACAGGCGTGGTGCCAGGGAAGGAGCCTGAAGTTTGGAAACACACCAGGTAACATGGGCAGCACCTGGGAGGGGCAGGCCAGAGGAAGCCGCAAGGCAGCCTGGGAGAAGAACGCGGAGGGTGTCCCAGGGCTGGTGGAAGTACCTGCCTCCCCCCTCCTGCCCCTGGCAGGCAGGCTGGGGATGGCAGCTGAGAATCAAGAGGTGGCTCCCAGCCTCACGCTGCCTGGGGCCTAGGGAATGACATGCCCTCCGGCCTCCGTGTAATTCTCTGCACCGTAGGCACAGGGCAGTCCTGTCCGCAGAGCCCCACGAGAACTCAATTAGCTCTCAGCCTGCTCGTGGCAGCGGCACCAGCGCCATCCGGGAGCTTGTTCAGAAGTGCCCGTTCTCAGCGGCCCCCGCCCCACAGTGGAGCCCAGGGCAGGCCGGCTGCTCTGCGGTCTCAGGAGCCCGCCAGGTGACTGCCCACGCATGCTCAGGTACGGGAACCCCTGTGTGAAAGGGTCGCTGATGCTCTTTTTAGGGGGGCTGGAGAGGAAGTCTGACCGTTTTATCAGAAGCGTGACCTAAAACCAATATGGTGGCAATCATTCCTGCAAGTTCTGGGTTTTTCTGTCTTACAATGTGGAGGGCTTTTGTGGGGTGGCTTATTTAAGTGTCCCTTACCACCCTAAGGTGACCAGACGTCCCGCTTTTGGCGGGACAGTCCCGATTTTTAACAATCCGTCCCGTGTCCTGCAGCGTGTTAAAAAAGTCGGGACTTTTTAAAACGCCACGGGACGCGGGACAAATTGTTAAATATCCGGACTGTCACGCCAAAAGTGGGACGTCTGGTCACCTTAACCTTGACCCCCGAAGTTTTAAGGATGCGCACTTTCAATGGCAGCCTGTGGTGCCCCCTGACCGTGGAGGGCGCTGGGAATCACGTGCTCTCACTGGCGTCTTACAGAGCCCTGTTTTCAGGCCGCAAACATCAGGTGCTTAATAATGGCCAGCCGGTGTTTAATGAAGGCCTGCCTGCACTGTGCATGCGTGAGCACTAATTACCACCGGCGGCTCCTGTGTGCTTGTTTATTTACTCATTTCCCAAACATCTACCGAGTACTACCCAGGACCCAGCAGGTGACGAGCCGGGCTGGGGTCTGCCCTGGACATGTAGTGTGGGAGGCAGGCACGGAGCAGCGAGTTCTCTCTCCACCACACTCTCCCCTCCGCGGTGAATGGCATGCGGCACGGCGGGGCCTGTGGCACGGGGCAGGATGCCAATCTCACGAGGACAGACAGGGGCCTTGCTTTTCTGGCTGTGGTGTCCCCAGCCTCAGGCATAGCACTTGGCGCATAGTAGGTGTGTATTGAACATTTGTTAGATTAAGGAGTAAACTAAACATATAAGTAATCTGTCCCTGGCCTAACAGCCCCCAGAGGGAGTGGAACAGAGTATATTAAGAATGAGGCTGGAACCCTAACCGGTTTGATTCAGTGGATAGAGCGTCGGCCTACGGACTGAAGGGTCGCAGGTTCGATTCTGGTCAGGAGCATGTACCTTGGTTGTGGGCACATCCCCAGTAGGAGGTGTGCAGGAGGCAGCTGATCAGTGTTTCTCTCTCATTGATGTTTCTGACTCTCTATCCTTCTCCCGTCCTCTCTGTAAAAAAATCAATAAAATATATAAAAAATTTTAATAAAGAACGAGGCTGGAACCTGGCCAGCATGGTTCAGTGGTTACACTGACTAGAGCACATGTGTCAAACACAAGGCCCGCGGGCCAAATCCGTCCCGCCAGGCCTTGCAATGTGGCCCGCACCGCGCTGTCATCACTGCACTCCGCTGCGTTTCCATCACAATGATAGTTTATGACTGTTCAGTAAACCATTCGGCCCGCGATTTAAGCTGGATTTTAGATTTTGGCCCCTTCTCTGATTGAGTTCGACACCCTTAGACTAGAGGGTTGCATTCTATTCCTGGTGAGGGCACATGCCCGGGTTTCTGGCTGAGTCCCAAGTAGAGGGAGTGTAGGAAGCAGCTGATCAATGATTCTCCCTTATCGGTGGTGTTTCTCTTTTTCTCTCTCTCTTCTTTCTTTTCAGAAATCAATAAAATTTAAAAATCAAAAAGGAATGGTGCTGGACTGGCCTGGGAGTCCAGGCAATTTTTCCTGAGAGTCCAAGGCCTTCCTGCCAGAGGGCAGAGCCTGTGCAAAGGACCTGAGGTGCACTTGTACTTGGAATAGAATGTCTACGATGAAGCTTGGGGGCGGAGCTGGGGCTTCAGCCTTGGGGAGGATCTAGGCCTTTACCTTGGAACAAGGGGAGTTGCAGGAGGCATTGAACCTGGGGGAGACAGATTGGAGCAGCCTTTGGTGAGATCCTTGAGGCTACAGTTTGAAAAATGGACTAGAGGGCGGGTCAAGTGGATGCAGGGGCCTGTGTGATCCGCTTGTCTTTCAGACCCCGAGGCCCCGAGGCCCTGTTGTAAGAGCTGGGCTCTGGGTCCACGGCTCTGAGTTGCACTGGGGTGACGTCTAGGCAGAAGGAGGAAGGCATTTAGAACTTTATGGAGAAAAGGAGGAAGTCAGAGCAAGTGCTGTGGGTCCTGGTGTGGAAAGAAAGGGGGTGGGGGTGACGTACGCTACCAAGTCCTCCTGGTGGGGAGCTGGGCCTGGGTGGGTGATGAGGGGCAGGGCTGCCGAATGTTGGCCACTGAGCAGGCCAGCTGGGAGGGACAGCTGCCCGGAGCAGCCGGCCTCCTGCCCCGAGGCCAGGATTAGGCTGGGATTAACTGTGCCGGGAGCTGAGCGGGCACAGCTAACCCACGCTCACACATGAGCACACTCTCTAGGTGCACCCACGCACACGCACACATATGCACATGCACACACACACGGCACAAACAAGGCAGCCCTCACTACTTCCAGCACAGGCAGGCCACCCCACCTGCAGGTCCTTCAGCTTCTGCGTTTGGAAGGCGTCCACCGTCTCCTCCAGCTGGTGGGTGGTGCGGCTGGCGTCCGCCGAGGCCTTCTGCACGCCGGTCTCCGCCTGCCCGTGAGAGACACACAGTGTCAGGGGCGCTTCCCTCTGGACCACCCTCGCCCTGCTGGGAGGCCGGCTCTCCCGGCTCAGGGGGTCCCTGGACCATTTGGTCATGGAAGAAATGGCCGAGCAGGACCATGGCTGAAGGGGGCAGGTGCTGCTTAGACAGATGCACTTGCTGCCTGTGTGGCCTCATGCAAATCACTTAGCCTCCCTGAGCCTCAGCTTCCTTGCCTGTGAACAGGGGTGAGACCTACTTCCCAGGGTGGCTGTCAGAAGGAAGCAGAGGGCATCCGCTGAGCGATGATTCTCCACATTGAGAGTCATTACTTCCTGCACGTGGAACACCCTCAAGTGAATCAACTAATGCCTTGGTTCCGTGGTCGGCAAACTGCGGCTCGTGAGCCACATGCGGCTCTTTGGCCCCCTTGAGTGTGGCTTTCTTCCACAAAATACCATGGATGGCCTGGGAGAGTCTATTTTGAAGAAGTGGCATTAGAAGAAGTTTAAGTTTAAAAAGTGTGTCTCTCCAAAGAAATTGCAATCGTTGTCCTGTTGATATTTGGCTCTGTGGACTAAGGAGTTCGCCGACCACTGCCTTGGTCCTCTGTCTGACCCCACTCCGCACAGGCACAGCCTGGGTTTCCGAGCGCCCTCAACTGAGTTCGGGCTGCCCCGTTCCTCCCCTGGTGACCTTGGGGAAGTCACCTTTCAGTCCGGGTTTCCTCGTCTAGAAGTGCCTCCTCGTGTGAGTGTTAACCAGGTGACCTGATTAGGGGGGTGACGGCTGACCGGCTGCTTGGTGTCGGGGCAGACAGACCCCAGGGCCCCTGACTTTCCTCGCGAGCTCGGCACACACCTGCCCGGGAGGAGCTCACCTCGCCGAGGTGTGAGGCTTTTCATTACCTGCATGCGATCTACCGTCCCCAGACAGTCCTGTGACTCTCACCTGGGACTGAGAGAGATGTTAAGGAGACAGGCTAACCAGCAGCCCCCACCAGAGGGCGCCGGAGACAAACGGTCATCCAGGCCCCTGGCCCCAGGCCCCGGGCTGGACGCCAGGGGAGGGAGGATACGATCATTTGCCTATCCGAAGGTGACTTTTGCCTCAGTTTGTCCAGCTTCTCCAGTTGCTTGATCTCATTACTCCGTATGTGTTTGCACTTCTTGATCTCGGCCTAAAGGAAGAAGGAGGGCTGTTTCCTGGGGCTGGGGCTCGGCCAGCCCCGGGCAGGGTGCACCCCACAGGGCAGCGCCCTCACTCACCCGCGTCTGCTTTATCTGAGGCCCATAGAACTTCAGGGGAGTCACAACCTTGGTCTCCAGCCTCTCGACCTGGGGAGCACAGACGCAGGGAATCAGTGGAGGGAGCCAGGGAGAGGCCTGGAGACTAGCCGCCTCCAGCCCGCGTGTGTAGGATCCTCACACACAGCGCTGCAGGCGGGGCCTGCAGGGGTCAGGGAGCAGGGGCGCCCTCCCTCACCCTGCAGCTGCGATCACCAGCCTGGGTTCCGGGTTCTCAAGGCTTGGACAATGCATTTCATCTCACTGAGCCTCATTTCTGTGCCTGTAGAATGGGTATAAAGAATGTACCCACGGGATGGATACAGGAATGGGACCTGTCGCTCTTTTACTGCTCCAGGTTGCCTTAGGATCTCATCTGGGGTGCAGAGCTGACCTTAAGAACACAGCGGGGCCGGCGAGGGGAATGCTCACACCCCTGAGTCCAGCCTGACACTAGCCACTCCAATAAACGATATCAGTGATGGTGAAAATCACAATCAGAGCTAACGTTAAGTGGCTCAGAATCGAGAAATGGCACCTAGAGGGGGCCTCGGGATGCCCCCTGAGGGTTCCTGAGAACCCAGATTGCCAGCGCCACCCTAGAGATTCCGCCTCAGCAGGTCCTGGGGCGGCCTGGGAGCTACATTTCTCACACATTTCCCGGGAGGCTGCTGCCTGGAGGACGGCTCCCTGCACGCCTGGCTCCCCACAGGCCCCTTCCGTCTCTTCACTGCGGCTTCTGACCTTGTGAGGATAAACACAAATCTAAAAGACCATCCCCACAGCCCACAGGGAGAGGGACTTCCCTTCCCTTTCCTGGAGGCACTTCCTTAGAAGACCTGCCATTGGGAGCCCCTCTCTGTCCCTGTGAGACCTTCTAAACCTTTGTCCAAGCTAAGGAGGCCGCTTGGGGGCTTGATGACCCAGAGCGCAGTCTTGTCTTTGAAACGAAGATTTCAAGCCGACACCGGTTTGGCTCAGTGGATAGAGCGTCGGCCTGTGGGACTGAAAGGTCCCAGGTTCGATTCCGGTCAAGGGCATGTACCTTGGTTGTGGGCCCATCCCCGGTGGGGGGTGTGCAGGAGGCAACTGGTCGATGTTTCTAGCTCTCTATCTCTCTCCCTTCCTCTCTGTAAAAAAAACACACACACAATATAATAGAATGTATTAAAAAAAAAAAAAAAAAAAAAAAGGAAAGAAACAGAGACATCAGGAAGGCAGCAAGCGTCCACCTGCTCCAAGCGGTGACCCCCCTGCTGGTCATAGAAACGTGAGACTCCCCTTTCCCTTTGGATAAAAACCGTCAGCTGGCACAGGGCCCACCCGGGCCCCAGGTGCAATCAGAGACCTGTGGGCACCGGTGCTGAGCCCCCGGCCTGGGACCGTCCTCCCTCCCGGAGAACCCGATGTGCGCCTGGGAGGGCCCCGCGGCCCGGGCCTGGCTGCGCGGGCAGGGGTTTGGTCTGTCTTCCCGTCACTGACCCCGTCTCCTGCGCCCTGCAGGCCTGTGTGCCACTCGTTTAGCAGAAAGGCTGTTTTGTTCTTTTTACAATCACGGAGAGGAGTTTTGGGGTTGGCAGGAGATTTTTATTTTTAATTGTGTTACTAATACGCTGCAGTCTCCTTGGCCTCAGCCCCAGGATGTCTGTCCTTCTCCAGGCCTCTGGGCCCGAAATGCGCCTCCTGCTGGGACTCTGGAGCCCAGAGGTGCAGGACTCAGGACCGGCCTCCTGGGCCTTCTGGCCTCGTCCACCGCTCATCCAGCCCCCACAGCCTCCTGTTCTTAGTCCTTAAATGGAGGTGCCTCCCCACACCCAGGGAGGAGATGGCCCTGGCTGTGGCCCCTGCAGGGCTGTCCCCACCCCCTGACTCTGCCCTGGCTCTGGCCGTGGGGCCTCTGCAGCCCGCTCACCTGGGCCTGCCCCACTGGGCCTGCCCCCTCCCCCCACCCGGGGCCTGCCCTCCACCCCCACCCCCCAGGCCTGCCTCACCTGGGCCTGTCCTCCACCCCCCAACCCGGGCCTGGCCCCCCCCACCCCCCCTCCCCCGCCGGGCCTCCCCGCCCTGGGGCCTGCCCCCCAGGCCTGCCTCACCTGGGCCTGCCCCCTAGGCCTGCCTCACCTGGGCCTGCCGGTAGTCCTGCACTCTGGCCAGCTCCTCGGCGAAGTTCCTCAGGGTGGCCCGCATCTCGGGGTTCTCCGTGTTGGCGAAGTCGACGAGCTGCTTGACCAGCTGGTCGGCCTTGTCCCGCAGCCGGGCTGTCTTCCGGGTGTAGGCAGCCAGCAGCGAGCAGAAGTGGCCGAAGTACTTCTCGGCGTTGGTCACGGTGCTCTCCATTGCCCTCACCTGGCTGTCCCTGAGGGGGCGGGGGCCTGAGGGGGTGTCTGGGCAGCGACACGGGCTCCCCCACCACCACCTTCTTCCTCGGTGGCAAGCGCCCGGGCAGGCATCTGTCCCTGGGATGGCGCTCAAGGTTAGGGTCAGCCCCTCGAGGCCGATGCGGAGTCGCCTGGGCCACAGATGGCCAGTGGCCAGGCAGGAGTGCCAACGCGCCTCCCCTGAGGCCCCTCCGAGGGCTTCTGTCCCCCGGCAGAGCTGTTCTTTGTTTCCCTATGACATTCCCTCTGGTCTAGCTCATCCCCACATTGTTGAAACTCTCCTTCTCTAAACCTTGAGGCTTTATGTTTAAGTGGATGATCTTTCTGGGAGAATAGTTTTAGGTCCACAGAAACAGAGTGAGAAGTACAGTGAGGTCCCGGAACCCTGTCTCTGAGCGCACACACCTCCCACGAGCACATCCTGCATCACCGGGGGACATTCGTGACAAAAGATGAGCCCATAGTGACGCACTATTACCTAAAAGCCATAGTTTACATTAGGGCGCATGTGCTGTTTGCACATCCTGTGGGTTTCGACAAATACCCGCTGCCCATGACCACCGTCACATGCCCCAGAGCAGTTTCCCTGCCCTGAAAAGCCGCACCGTCTGCTCATCCTCCCCCCACCCCCCAGCAGTCCCCGCTGAACTTAGTCTCCCCTAAACACCCCGGCACCCACCTCCCACCCAGGCCGCTCCCCACCCCCGAGCCCCGGTCCCCAGGATCTGCCGCCTCTCCCCAGGTGACCGAAGTCCCCGGTGCAACCACCCAATCACATCCCTGCAGCTGGAAAGGGTGAGGAGGGCCCTCGACCTCCTCCTGACAAACCCTGGCGTGTGCACCGCGTCACAGTTTGCAAAACACTCGTCCGCTCGCATCACTCATGAGCAAGCCACTAACGCTGTCAGCGTTTTTAGTGAACGAGCGAGCTGAGGCCCGGAGAGGGCGAGCGTCTTGCTCAGCGTCACACAGCTGCCCGCAGTGCCAGTGCCCGCAGGCCGAGCGCTTGCCCCCGTCAGGATCACCCAGGCACACGTTAAGCCTGCAGCTCCCCAGACCCAGCCCTGACCTGCAAACCAGGATCCCTGTGAGGGAGGTCCGAGAGCTGCATTTTTTAAAGAAGCACAGGCACCCTTGGGCTTGGAAGGAAGGAAGCAGGCGTGGAAACCACGGGTGAAGGGGCCGGCGAGTTGGAAGAGAACGGTGATAGAATCAGGCCGAGCGTGAGGTCTCGACTGTCCCACAGCAGGGGCGAGGCCTGGCGGGTGTTAGGCATGAGGAGGGGTTTTCCAGGCGGAGGGGAGTGAGGGGAGCTGGGGGAGGGCCCTGTGGACTGGCTTCCTCGGAGCTGTGGGCAGTATTGCTGGAGAAGGGGACAGAGGCAATATTCTGGACGCTTTCTTTTGGCCTCGAGGAGAGTTGGGTGGAAGAAAGCTCACTCTCCCCACCCCCCACCTCCCTGACTCCATCCCCATCGCGCCATCCCAGCTGCACCTTCTGTCTGCGTGCACGGGGCCCTGAAAACCCAGCCGCCCCCTCCCACCTCCCAGCCCCGGGACAGAGCCCCTTACCTGACAAGAACAATGCTCATTGTGACAGAGGCCCCAGCGGTCCCGAGATTGAGGAGGAAGCACGGCGCCCCAGGGGTCCTGCAAGCCTGGGAACAGGGCAGGGCAGGGCTGGGCGCAGCTGCTGGTCCTGGCTCAGGGGACGCTGCCACCTGGTTGCTGGGCAACGGGGCCACTCACAGCTGCCCTGGGAGGAGACTCGGCTGGTTGCCTGACAACCCCTCCCCAGGCCGGCCTCTCCCAGAGGGTCAGGAGGGCCTGCTCAGCCCTGCATTGGCCGGGGGAGTCCCAGAGAGGCCCCTCTCTCCGCTTGCAGGTGGAGGTTCTTGTGGGACAGGGCAGTGCCCTGGGTGCCCGGGAGGCGGGCTCAGCCCTGGGCCCAGTGGTGTTTGTGGGTCCCGTGTGCTGAGGCCCCCTTCCTTCAGGAGGCCTCAGGCCTTCCCCGGGGGCCTGGGAAAGGCAGGCAGGCGGGTCCCAGGAGGCCTGGCTACTCAGGAGGGCGTTTGGGAAAGCACAGAGGATGCATCTTAATTGTATCATCACTGTATTGTTTTATTATAAAAACTATCTGTTCCTATTAGAAAAGAAGGAAGACAGGGATAACACAAAAAAGAAGAACATATGATAGCACATATGAAACTGTACTACTTAAATACGTTTTACTAATCGTAATATTTGTACATTTCTGTGTATCTACATTTTACCTCAAAGAAAGGCATAAGAAACTAGTAACCCTCCCTCCCTGTCTCCCTCCTTCCTTCTACATCCCTGTCTCTCTTTCTCTAACTTAATTACGACTCAGGCAGGTGATTCTCACCCTCTATTTATATAAAAGCCTAAGTGACTGTTAGACTGTTTGACCGGTAGCTATGATATGCAGTGACCAACAGGGGGTAGACGCTCAATGCACAGGCATGGAAACATGGAACAGACTGGTGAATCTCAGAGGGAAAGGAGAAGGGGGAGAGCAGGAAGAGATTAACCAAGGATCTTACATGCATATTAGAGGCCCATGTGGATATAAGGACACATATGCATGAGGTGTGGTCTCTCGGCCTGGCCTGTGGGGTTCAGGCTGAGACCAGCAGTCTGACATCCCCCGAGGGGTCCCGGATTTTGAGAGGGTGCAGGCCAGGCAGAGGGACCCCACCGGTGCGCGAATCTGTGCACCAGGCCTCTAGTAACAACAATAATAACTAAGGTCTTCAGGCCAGCCCTGTGCCAGCTGTTCTTAAAGCCCTGCTGGCTGTTGACTCATTCCATCCTCGCACACTCAGAAGCCACAGTGGGCTCCTTTTCTTAGCAAAGCAGGAGTCAGAAACCAGCAGGAAAGCATCCTTTTCTGTGACGGTGTCTGGTGGCCACACCCACAGTCGGCTGGCTTTAAGTAAAGGAGATGACCCTGTAGTGGGGGTGAGCCTCATCTCCTCCCCGGACAACCACAGAACAGAACCGAGGTTCCCTGGGGAGGAAGAACTTCCGCCTCCAGAACGCCCTGCTGGCTCTTGCCTGGCTCCAGCCTGCCCTGTGGGCTTCACACCTGCCAGCCCCCCCCACGATCGCTTGAGCCAGTTCCTTAAGGTAAACATCCCCGTGAAGCTGATGGGCCGTTTCTCTGGAAACTCTGAAACTTTTAGGACAAGGAGAAGCTGCCAAGCCTTTCAGGTTTCTGCTCCTCAAGGAGGGTAGGGTCTGAGTTCTAGGAAGTGGCCACCAGAAGGCAGCAGAGACCTTTTCATGGGGATCCCATGTGGGGACAGCAAAGAGGGCTGGGTGAGCCCCCAGAAAACACCAGGGGAAGTGCATCAGAGAAAAAAAGTCTGCCTTCACACACCCTGGGAGAAAGAGCAGCAGGTCAGAGAGAAAGGGCAGTGGTTTAATTCACATCTTAGAAACGTTAAGAAACTTGAACAAACGAAAACCGCCTTCTAGTAGGGCTCCGTGGGGACATCTTGTGGCCAGAGAGAGAAAAGCTAAGAGATGGGTAGGGGGTGCAGAGGCTGGGGGTGGCCTTCACTGCCCGTGGCTGCAGCTGTGTGGAGGTGTGTGTCCTTGAGAAAAATAGCATGGACCCCACTGTAATTCTGCACCCCCCCCCCACCCACACACACATTTGGAGTGCATGGCTTTCTCTCTTTCCTATAAATGTATTTTTGCTGAATCACAGAAAGGGTTACAGACATCTGGACCCTTAGCCCAAAACCCAGTGTACACCGCAGAGGAGCAAGGGCATGGTTCTGAACACCCTCGTGTGACCACCACACCCAGGAAATTACAAGATGCAGCGCTGACACCCAACACCCCTCTCTCCTCACACGCGTTTCCCCATGGAGTCACAGAGTCCAGACACACTGCAACTCCTCCTGAGCCCGCTCAGTCTCCTTGAATCGGAACTGCTCTCCAGCCTTGCTCTTTCTCTCCCCCCAACCAGGGTATTGACTTTTCTTTCTTTTTATTTTGTAACTTTTTATCTTGGAAGCATTTCAGTTTGCACAGAAATAATACAAGAACTCCTTCACCCACATTCCCCGATTATTTTTAATTGTTTTTAAAATATTTTTAAAAATGATTTCAGAGAGGAAAGGAGAGGGAAAGAAAGATAGAAGCATCAATGATAGAGAATCATTGATCAGCTGCCTTCTGCATGCCCCTTACTGGGTGGAGATTGAGCCCGCAATCCGGGCACGTGCCCTTGACCAGAATTGAACCTGGGACCCTTCAGTCCCCAGGCCAAGGTTCTATTCACTGAGCCACGCCGGCTAGGACTCAATTGTTAACGTTTTATTGCTTGCTTCATCCTCTCTCTCTCTTTCCGTACATGCACTATATTTTCTGAGCAGGTTGCACACTCATGCCCTCTTACCCAAATATTCCGTGCGTTTCCTCAGCACAGGGCCAGCCTCTCACACAGACACAGTGCCAACAGCAAGCCAGACGACTGACCGCTATACATCACTGTGCTCTAGTACAGGGGTCCTCAAACTTAGTATCTCATCTGCACGCTATGTTCAGATCTCGCTCTAGCCCAATCATCTCGCTTTGGTGAATAAGGAAACAGTCTTATAGGGCCACCTGCTGCCTGGAGCGGGCGCCCTGCGTTAAGACTACCTTTCCTGCACGGCAGCTACCCAGGCTAAGCACCCCCCTATCCCCCCATTTCCAGTCCTCTCCCCACCCACTCCTCTGCAGCATCTGGGCTCGTCCATCCTCTGTCCACCATTCGGTGTCTGTGAGAGTTCACCTAGACCCCATTCCTGGGCTGCCGGGGGCACAGCCCTCCCAGGTGGGCAGGACCCTGCCTTACTGTAGAGCACATGTGTCAAACACAAGGCCCGCGGGCCAAATCCGTCCCGCCAGGCCTTGCAATGTGGCCCGCACCGCGCTGTCATCA